GCCAATATTCTGATCAACCAGTCGCGGATCATCGCACAGCGCTATCTGCAAAAGTTTGATTCGCCCATTCCTGTCGAGCAGCTTGTTCGCCGGCTTTGTGATATGAAGCAGGGCTACACACAGTTTGGTGGACTGCGTCCGTTTGGCGTTTCGTTTTTGTGCGCGGGATGGGATCCTGCATTTGGCTTCCAGCTGTACCAGTCCGATCCTGCTGGAAACTACTCGAGCTGGAAAGCGGCGTGCATTGGTGAGAACTTTAGCAATGCGCAGAGCATCTTGAAACAGGAGTACAAGGATGAGGACAGCAACGGTGCCAACAACCAGACTGGATCCGCAAACACCAGAATGACCATGGACGACGCGCTGAAGTTGACCTGCGTTGTCTTGTCAAAGACCATCGACACGGCCAAGCTGACAAGCGAAAAGCTAGAGTTTGCCACAATCACTCTTCAAGATGACAAGCCTCATATCCACATCTACACGCCAGGCGAGATCGATGAGGTCCTAAAGAAGTACGACTCGGTTATGAAACCCTCGGAAAACTAAACTTCCCCTTAGTTTTCTCTCTTTTTTGTTTGTTTTTCAATTTGACCTGCTTCTCAATATTATAAAAAATGATATTCCACAACGTGCAAACTAATCTAATGCCGGTTATACAAAATAAAACTTGCTAGCCTTTTAGAGCAAAAATAAAATAAAAAAGTTGGTGCTTGGTGTGGACCACGGTGTTGTTGTTAATGTTGACCGTGGTGGAAGGTGCCGGATTCGAACCGACTTCTTTTTGTTCTTAAGACAACCGCATTGCCGATATGCTAACCTCCCAAGGCGCCTGGTAACCTGCTTGCTGCCAGCAAGCGAGCAAAATGCATATGACTCTTGCCCATAGCCTAAACGATCAGAGCCTATTACCTGATTATATTTTTATATTTTAATCCACTTTTTCCTGGCTAAACCTTAGAAAATTCTGTATTTTTTGTTTGCTTGAAACGACGGGTTTTATAACCTGCTGGTCTTTATTTTTGCTTTAACAGTACTTACTTTATTATTGAATATCCAGAATGAACAGCATTATTGAACAGCAGCGCCAGGCATACGAGGACATTGAGCGGATGGAGCTGGCCATTGTTGACCTGATGGTTCAGGATCTGTCAAAACACCGGTACAAGCTGATGCGCGAGCAAAAGATAGACGAGCTGCTTTGTCAGATACAGCAGCGCAGCGAGCTGATTGCCTATATCACGAAAGACGAACCTGGGCTGCGTCACAAGGAAATGGACAGCATTGCTGAGCATCAGTTCAACGAGTTTTATTCGAGGCTCGAAGGAATCCGCGGCTTTTACCGTCGCAATCCAGACATGTCTGTGGTTTATCCGCCTGAGCTGGACTACATCAAATACAAAAACAATCCAGAAGAGCTAGAAGAGAGACAGCAGGCCAAGGCGGCTAGGGAAAGGGCACTGGCTGAAATCGAAGATGCGGCTAATGTTGTACTTCTAGGCGACGAGCAACCTCAGGGGCAGACATATGTCAGCGAAGATGATTTGCAAAAGCTCGAAACCATGTTTTCAGGCGACGAAAGACTTGGTCGCTATGTGGACCTAAACGAGCAGTACGAGCTATACCTTAATCTCAAATGTGCCGACAAGATGTCGTATCTAGAATATCTGCAAACCGTTGACAAGCTTGAGCAGTACCCTCGCAAACTAAAGGGGCAAGTGCAATACAGAGAATATTTGAGCAGCCTTTGCAAATATTTCGAAGGATTTTTCGCTCGAGCGATGCCCCTGTTTGATTTGCCAAAGGTGCTGGCAGAGGCAAAAGCAGAGTTTGACGACAGCTGGGCACAGAACACCGTTAAGGGCTGGGAGACTAATCCGAACGGTACTGATAGCGGGCTTGTATGCAAGGTATGCAACAAGCAATTTGAAAAACAAAC